AGGAGGAGGAGGAGGGAGGAGGAGGAGGAGGAGGAGGAGGAGGAGAGGAGGAGGAGGAGGAGGAGGAGGAGGAGGAGGAGGAGGAGGAGGAGGAGGAGGAGGAGGAGGAGGAGGAGGAGGAGGAGTGGGGGAGGCTGCTTCTTAGAAGGCGCGCCGCCCCCGTATCTGCAGGCAAGGCCCGCGCCTTCCCTAAGGAGCAGGGGGGCTTCCAAGAAGCCTCACTCCCTCTCCCCCTGCCCCCCTTACGTGCGCGTGACCGAACACCTTGGAGGGTCCGTCACCGCACCGTCTTGGGACCTCGGAGGCCCCAACCGCCCGAGACATCCTCGGAGCACGACCCGAAAACCCTTGCGGCCACCCCGAACCCCCCCCGACTCTCCGCACGGTGCGGCCACCGCGCCGTTGCAGGGCCCCTGACGCGGGGCACGCCCGGAGGCCCCGCGGCCCCGGGAGAGCGCAGGGGCCGTGGGGCCTCGGAGCACAGAACGCCGGCCTCGAGGGCTGGGCCCCCTGGGCCGCGACCCCGCGCACACGGCTTGTTTTGTCGCGGATGCCCCGCGCGGAACGCATCCGCGCGATCGCGTACAGTGGGGGCCCGACCCTAAGAAACCCTCCACAAGAAGCCCAACCCTGAGACCCCAAGTCGTCCCTTGGTTTTTGGCGTGGGGACGTCGCCCTTTCCACAGCAAGACCATCGAAGCCCAAGAAACCCAGGGCACCCTGGAGGCGAGCAGGGTGTTTCTTGGCATGGGTCTCTACTGTACGGATTGTATTTTCGCGGATGTCCCGCGCGGAACGCATTCGCGCGACCGCATATCCGCGGGATCGCGCCCCGGGATCCAAGTCGCTGGGGCGCGGATATGGAGTCCCGAAACGGTGCGGTGACAGACCGTGCGGTGACCTCGAAATCTCCGAGGATCTCACCGCACGGTCCGTCAACGCCCGGTTTTGGGACCTCGAATGCCCCAGTCGCCCGAGACGCCCTCGGAGAACGACACGAGAGTCCCAAAACCGTGCGGTGACCCCGAATCCCCACTGACTCACCACACGGTGTGGTCACCACCGCGTTTGGGGGCCCCCGAGATACAGACACAGAGCGCACGGGGACCCCCGGAGCTGGACGGGCCGACCTGCTGGTCAGCCTCGGCCCTCGCCCCCCGCCCCCCCCCCAAGAGCCGCCGGCGGCGGCGCCCCGCTCCTGCGCGGCGGAAGGGCACCCGCCGGAGCCTCCACGGCGTGCGGAGGTCCACGCAGTCGACACCGTCGGCAGAGGGAAACAGTTAGTGGACACTCCCCCGCCCCCCAAAACTCGAGGCTGGCAGGCGCGGGGAAGACTGCGGTCGAGGTGCCAACATTGATCATTTGAGGGGAGGGGCCTTGGCGCACGAATGTGGCGTGCGTGTTCGATGATTTCTTCCGAAGCCTGTTTTTTTTGGGCGGACGCCTCGAGCGAGCCCCGCGCAGCGCTCGCCGTCACAGAAAGTCGCGCTCCGCCGCTGGGGGCAAGATGGAGCGCGACACCGCAGGCAGGAGGTTCTCGACCTTCAGCAGCTTCACGGTGCCGTCGTCGTCGGCCCCAGCGCGGGCAGCCGGCGCAAGGCGAATCTTGTACCGCTGGGTGGCGGCGTCGTAGCCGAGAACCTCTCCCAGCCGGCCGTCAAGGTGTCTTGCAACGGCCAGCCCGTCCAACCTGACCCAGGCGCCGCAGGCGGGCCCACGGGCGCCGCTGGAGGCTGCCTTGGCACGGCGGTGGCCTGCGCCAGAGAGCAGGAAGCCCGGCCGCAGCCCCGGCCGCGGGGCGGGGCCGCCGCCGCGCTGGTAGCACGCGAGCTGGCCCGCGGAGTCGCAGAAGGCCAGCCCCAGGTGGCTCAGCTTCGACGACAGCTCCTGCGCCCTGCCGGCCGCGGCCACCCCTCCCGAGCGCAGGGCCCCGCGCACCTCGGGGTGCTGCAGCGTGAGGACCAGCTGGCTGACGCCCTGGATCACGGCCACCCGCCGCACGAGGCCACCTATGCGCGGCAGTCCCACGCAGCTGGCGGCCAGGCCGGCCGCCCAGAGCGCGCCGGACCCGACCACGGCGCCCGCGGCCGCCCCCAGCTCGGCCGCGGCCGGCGGCGCGTTGACGACGCCCGTCTGCGGCCTGCCGCGCTGCAGGGAGCCGACCTGCTGCGCCCAGAACAGCGTCTCGGCCAGGTCGCTGCTCGACGTGGCCATCGCCGCGGCCATGGCGAAGACGGCGAACGCCTCGTCGGGGGTCAGGTCCTGGCCGTCCCTCTCCTCGTCGCCGAGGCCGTCGAATCCGAGCTCCAGCTCCGAATCGTACCGCCGCCTTCTCTCCGGGTCGCTCAGTACCGACCATGCCGCCGTGACGCGCTGGAACGCTCTGGTGGCCTCTGGGTGCGGGTTCTTGTCGGGGTGGACACGCACTGAGGCGGCCAGGTAGCGACGCCGGAGCTCCGTTGCATCAGCACTGCGAGGTGCACTGATGGCCGCGTAATGGTCCCCCGCCCGCAGGATGGCCGCCACGGCGACGGCGGCCTCCTCGCCTGCGCACGGGGAGCCCGCCGCGGCCATCACCCCGGTGGCGGGCGCGCTGCAGCGCCGCCCGCTCCCCACGGGGGCCGCGCCTGGGGCTTGAGCCAGGATGGTTGCGGACTCTTCCGAGGCCCTGGCTGTCTGCCGTCGCTCAAGTGGAGGGGAGCACACCGAGCACAAGGGGAGCTCCTCGAGACTTCGAGGTTCGGCTGCGTCTCCCTGGCCTTCCTGGAGGCTCTCGCGGCCACGGCTGGGCGCAGCTCGGCAAGCAAGCGCGGATGGGTCCTGGGAGGGGCCCGCGGATTGATTTTGAGAAGGTTCCCAGCGACCCCCTCGGGACGCGAACAACAACACTATGCCAGGATCGTCGGGTTCAGACTCTGTCCGCGCTTCAGAGTCCTCCCTCTGGGTGAATCAGGGCCCCCCTTTCGTCGCCGTCATCCGTCGCCTATTGGTGTCCATATGGAGCCATCGCGGGGTCGCATTGGGATCGCGTGGTCAACTTGGAGACATAATGATATGACACTATGCCTATGTTGCACTGTACGTGTCGAAACATATGTGAAGGCATAGGTACAGGTAGTAGCTGTAAACATGGCGTGCTTGCCAATCGCAAGAGAAGTCAGCGGCAACATTCACGTTGCACTCGTCGCCGTCGTCGACCCGCGCACCCCCATCGCGAGCCGCGCGCGCACTTCTACGCGACGCTCACGCAGCACCCCGAGCTGGCATTCCTCCTCTATTGTGCCTGCACTCGTCGTCGTCGTGACCCCCCGTCGCCGTCGTCGTGAAACCCCGTCGCCGTCGTCGCGCCCGCGTACCCGCGTCGCGGCGCCCGTGCATCACGCGCCCCCGCCCCCTTGCTGACATGTGCTC